CAACTAATTACTGTTCACGTGTGCTACACTGGCAGCTTTGCTGAGTCAGTTAAGAAAGAAAAAACAGTAATATCACAATAGGTACGTTACTAAATAATTAAAGTACCAAGATATGAGAAAGTACAAAAAATAAGTTAAAGATGAGTCAGATAGGAAAAAGGAAATGTCTGGTGTTGCTACTTAAGAGCATCGAGCTGACGCGCAAAGCACGACCGTAGGTTCTCTAAGTGATCGAGAAGCGAGTTCCGGCGCTCCACTCGACGAGACAAACGAGTTTCCGCCCTAATTCGATCAGACTGTGATCCGAGTAGCTTCAATGGGTGACTGCGGAGACTGGACAACATAGCGGCATTAAGTAGAAAAGACATGTCTGGGTCGATCTTTTCCATCAAAGTAAGGTAACCGAGGATCAAGTCCCCGCTAATCCTCCGGAAGTGCGGTGAGTACATTCCCAAACCAAGCAAGCATTCGGCATACGTCTGTCTTCGAAACCCTGCACTAACCTAGTACAACCCTCTCCAAATCCATTTTGTCTAAGACATGGTGGACAAGCTTTGGTATAGTATTCCAAGTAGGGTCGCACGAAAGCCGAGAATAACTTCACGAACATAACGGCAGCTGAAACTGCAAAGCAGCTTTAAATAAACTACGTCGTAAGGAACCCACTACCAGAAACCCTCCAGATGTTGCCACAAAGAGGCGCTGATGAGTGGATGACAACCAAATCAACATGCTGAGTGACAACAGGAATTTCACTTTCGCCAACAGCATACCTTGTAGGAGGAATAGCAGTGTTGTCCTGAAGAAAGAACAGTTGGCCCGATTTATAAGCACCAACCATTCCCAGAGCCTACCCGAGACACTCAAATTGCCCCCAAACACCCAGCGATATCCACGATAGTCCGGAACTTTATGTCGTAAACATTGGCGACGACATTCCACTATCATAAATTGCGAACAGTAACGGCTCTTCTACCGAGCCCTGCGGAACGACACTAAAAACAGCCTGTCCCATGCGTACACACTATTCCATCTCTTGCAGGAAAACGGACACCCATTTAAGGGAGCGATCAGATGTTCTGTGAGACCGAAAGTTTAGTGAGAGTCTAAGATAATGGAAAGTGGCGAAAGCTCTTGAATCCGAACAGCGCGTCTATGGAATTGCCACTGTCTACCGCATCGGCACAATTTTCCTGAGCCGTAGGTAAATTAGTCTGACATGAGAATCCCCTGCAGAATGGGTGTTGCGCGGCAGAGATTAGATTTATTCTGGCGGTTCTTCACTGAATCTCTCATTAAATTTTAAACGACCTGACTAAGACGAATGTCAAACCGACAAATCAGTAGTTCGCACGCAAACTACTGCCATCGCCCTTAGAAATCTGAGAGATGGTCTCCCTCTATTCACAAGGTAAGAGGCAGTTGTTAATTGAATTTTAAAACACGCATGTGAGAAGACCACTCAGTTCAGCGACCACCTCATGCAAAAGCTTCGGGTGAATTGAATCAGGGCTAGAAGCCTTAGGGAAGTTGATGCCTTGTAATAGCTTGAAGACCTGAGTCTCCGTCATGCTAAACTCAGCTGAGCAAGAATCCTCTGGAACGCTTGAAACAAATTCGACCTGTTGTAAAGAGGTCTCGTGAGTAAAAGCCCTAGTACACTGTTTACTAGGTATACAAACCTTATCATAATCCGCATGCGCCCGGGTCCCGCTTGCCCGATTTAGTACCAGTATAGACAGAATTGTATCGTTGCGCTTCTTCAGGTAAGCAAAGAATTTTAAATTAGTTTTGACCCAGTCAGCCAAACCCTTATGGCATTGTCAACGAGCAGACCAGATGTTACTCATATTTATTTCTAAAGTCTCATTACGGCCGTAGGTGCTAGCTGATAGAGCTGTTTGGTAGATCCGCCAGAACCCAGACCGCTTCTTGAGTACGCGTTTGCCTGTGGAATGCATTCATGGATGTTGTGCCCGTAGTCTCCTCTTCCTGATAAGTGGAATGTGAAGTGCCGGCCTGTAGCCTGAAGTTAGCGAGCTTGTCTTGTAATTTGACGGCCCCGGTTCGAGTTTGCGTAGGAGTAGGGCGACCCTAGCAGCATCCTTAGTCTACGTGCGACCGGTGGTGGTTGTGCGACAGTAAAGCGACAGTACTGCGTACCGGCATAATGCCGATGCTTCTATCAGTCGATGGCCGAGTAGTCTGTACGCTTGGCTTGCCATCATAATGTGACTGGTTCAAATCCACGTAGGGGGCGTACTTGCAGTATACTGTCCACGCGCAATTTTTGGTAATTGCGTGGGAGCGAAGTGCCATTACGGCGTACAGCTGACGATTTATTATAGTTCTATTTTATTCCGCAAAGGTATGCCTTAAATTTATCTCAGTCGGTCATCGAGGTCGCAGCTTAGAACTGAGGCCTTAGCTCTCATTGTACTAGTCCACCCGCCAAATATATGGATGTAATTGAAGGTAGTCTGATGTTGCCTAGAAAGAGCACACCGAAAGGATATGCATACATGGTCACTGGAATCTAAAGGGTAGCGTACGAAACGTTACGCACGAAGTGCAGGGACTTGGCGAAAACGAGAAGATAGACGGCACTTGGATATCCAGGTACCTAGCGGTGAAGTCCACGAAATGATGCAACACCACTTGGAGAGTCAGCTCAAGAAAGTCTGCATTAAACGTTCCTGACGCCGAACTGCACAAAAGATCAGTCCAACACAACTTTGAGGTTGAAATTCCTTAGTACTAAATACATTCGCACAAGGCGAATAAAGTCAATAATCTCCCTAGGTACCCAGTGCAAACCGAGTGTTCATGATCGTCAGGCCGAATGGAAGATAGTGAGAGCAACCGGTCACCGTTCGCATCCGCTGAACCAATAGCATGGGGACCGATGGCATCTGTCCACATCAATGCATCACGCCCAACGCGCGCGTTGAAATCACCCAGGAGAGATAGTCAGTCGCTCCTCGGCACAGACCGTACCACAGGAGAGAACTGAGTGTAGAACTGATCACGCGTGCTATCTGGGTAACACATGGTCAGACCGTAGGTGCTTATAAGTGGCAAACTTCCCTCTTCCGAGTCGTAGGCGAACAGGCATCAGTCGTGCGCTGATGGCAGTGGGTTCACCCAACAGCTGAGCCTTAGTGATCGGATAGTGCAGATCTGATCCCATGTCCAGGTGGTGCTGAGATGGCGTTTTTCGCCCAGTATAACGCATAGCCGACAACAGCATCACGCAACTTACGTTGCTCAGCGAGTTGGGTTCCACCGAGCGCCACAATATCGTTGTGGCGTGCCAGTTCCATCACGACCAGCGCAGTGCGGCGCTCGCATTCTGGTCGAGCAAAGTGCGCCCGTTCCAGCACCCGACGTTGAGTGTCTTACGTGCAAGCATAGGAGTGAGTTGGCAACTGTACGGGTCAATATAGAGGTTGGGATCACAAGGCGAACGTTAAAAAGCCGGTCAACTTCGGAGGTTTTACTGTGTCGCGTACCCTTCGTCAGGTTGCCCACATTTCTTAGTGTTAACTGAAGCAACTAAGAGAAACCAACCTGAGCCGTGTGCTGTCAGAATCCGTTCCGGTAGAGCGGAAACTGACGTTTAACTGGCCACTGAAAATCCAAATGCCGAAGGCCCTGCTCGCCAGCCGCAACGTTGGCTTTGAGGTCATTGATGGTCTCATTCAGTTTGGGCCTGTCCACCAGTGGAAGATATGGCTGGACAAAAGGTAACAAGGTAGAGAGAACCACAGGAAGGAGACAAGGTCGAGGACTTGGTGTTCCGGTAGGGACGTTCCTCCAGCTCATCAATTTTCGGACGATAACTTAGGGAAAATCGGATGGAAGCAGCTTTGGAGTGCACATTTCGTACAATAGATAAACATCCAATATGAGCTTTTTGGGAAAATCAGCAGCGGATTCAACAACGTTTCGGAAGATAACGCTGCTCTCTGTAAAAGAGTACCATTGACGTGGTGCATTTATCTCTCGTGTCGCCATGTCTTCATCGGTGCAAGTCGGAGGTTTCAACAGGCACCCAAACCAGTAGAAACTAAGCATCAGGCTATCGCTGGTAAATATAACATTTGCTCCCCTTGTAAGATATTGAAACTTCCGTGATATTAAAGGCCTTAAACGTCAAAGTATACATTCAGATTCGTCCATTATGGCTTATGAGCAATTAAAGTGGCTACATATAACAAGACTCATTGGTCAATGAATCCGAAGATACAAGTGTGCAGCAGCATGCAAAGTCGACATGGCGATTGAAAAACTGTAAGAGAGAAGCAAGAACGCAAAACCGGTGAGCTAATACCTGCGCAGCAACCAATAGGAACGGAAATGTTAAAAACTGGTTGGTGAATTAAAAAATACCAACAAAACTAGCCAAAGCTAACCATAAAAAGGAAATAAAAGTAAGTACATATCCGAGATAAGGCACACAGTCTAATAAATGACTGGAGAAAACTTGACAAATGTTTAATTTTCCATATTGTTTCCAGGCCGTACGTTGAAAACAGACAGCATGTTGAAAATCTAAAGCTACTACAGGTACACTAACAATTGTGAAACCTGGTAGCAGCCTACAAGTGAATACCACAGATTAGAGAGAAGCGACTGCAATCGAAACGAGTATTGAAGTAAAGTTGCGTTACTTCATTTCAAGGAGAAGTGCAGCAGAGAACGTTTCAAACAGTGGACTACACGTGTCTACACGACGGTGGGGAAAAGAGTAAACACATCACGTGGCAGAAGTTGGGCGTTTTTTAGGGGTGGTCAGTGCAGAATGACAGACAGTAGCTGACTAAATATAAAGAAATGACCAATTGCGTTTTCGCATAATGGATCGTAGCAAATTGTGGGGTGAATAGCTTCCAAGAGTTTAGTGTGAACAACCGAGGCTCATGAAGCCATGCAAGGAATAACAACCAATCGTTACCTGCGGTTTTGGAGCCTAACAGGTTAGTATAAAGTCAGCATACCTTGATAACCAGGTGGACTGTTAACCCGTCTTTAATTTTGTGGTGCATCAGGCTGTCCTCGTCCTTGAGGATCTTCCCAGCAAATATCAAACATAGGCGGTCGATCGGGGCATCAAACGCTTTAGACACATTCTCTCTTAGCTGGATAAATGAAGAACCTGAAGCACACGAAAAAGATCAGCCAACCTGTTTTATGGTCGCTTCCTCGTCGATGGTTATAGTCTTTTCTTCAGTCGGTGTCTTAATTCTGATTGTAATCCCAGTCATCGGCGAAGCGTTGACAGGAAACCTTGATTGCACGTCGAAACAATGGCGTCAAGCGGAAGTTCTGCAGCACAAATTTGATGTGAGAGCTTATATTCGCTTACAGTTGTCCTAACTTCGTTGCTATACAGCTCTGCATTATAGAATATTTGTTGTACTAAAAATGAAGAAGTATGGATTCTTAGGTGTACGATTACATGCATTGAGGTTAATTTTGCAAACTGGAACTTTTTATTATCATTCCTTTGGGCTAACAAAAATATCTTATTACCTTAATATATCATAAATCATTTATTAGTATTGCAAAAATAGCTTCGTGTGTTTATCTAATTTTGTACTACAGGATACAACGAAATCAAATTCAAGTGAACCGCCATTGTGCATTCAAATTAACCGGCTGCAAATTGATGAAGTTCAAGTTCCGTTCAGGTGGGACTGGAGCGATAGGATGAATCTAGTACATGTTCCTACTTGAGCGGGTCGTTAATCCAAGAGTTCAGGTCAGGTCAAACGGACGATAGAGGCTTCCGCCAAATGAGCGTCCAGTTCTTGTGCCGGTAAGTGAAGTGGCCCCCGGCACTTCGACGTTAGATTGTATCTTCTTGCTTCTGCAAAAGAAGGAAGCAAGGACAACAGCAATCTTCGCACTTTCATGTGTCAGCATCAAAATACACTACATATTCCAGTACAACTACAATATCTCTGAAAAAGGATAGACCAACAATCAGCTAAGCCTTTTTTGAAGGCTTCTACGGTCTCAGAATCCACTAAATCAGAAGGAAGTTTATTCCGGAATTCAACTGCTCGGTTCTTAGGAACTTCGTCCTGATGTCCAAACGAGCTCTATGATGTTTGAGCTTCAGTCCCTGCCCCCGCAGATGGTCTGACATAGCCTACTCAAACAGATGGGTTGGACTAATACCACTAAGTCCCTTAACGATCTCAAACCTCTCTATCAAACCCCCTCGCAATCTACGCAGTTCCAAGGAAAATAATCCCAAGCTACTTAGACGATCTTCGTACGACTTCCTTCGTTGACGTTCGATCAGCCTGGTCGCAAGTTTCTGAACCTCTTCTATACAAATGACGTCACTCCGGAGATATAAATAAATAAATAAATAAATAGTATATTCTCTGTAAAGCGAGACACACCTCTAAAAGGCATGATCAAATATGCATACAAGCATAGCTTCTTTGGAATATTAAAACATTTCGTTACAATGAAAGGAATAAACGAAAAGATGTAGTCCATAAGAGCGAGCATATTGTCAGGCAATAGTCAGACCAAGGATCATAATGGCGCCGTGGCGCGCAAAAACTGTTGCGTCAAGATACAAGTGGGGGGTAAATTTGCCATGTAGTGATCCATGAGCACAGGAGACCGAACAAGGTTTAGTGCAATCGATGACCATTACGAAGCCGGGATGATCGGTACTCCACTAAAGCATTCTTCATAGTAAAATCAGTTGCACAGGTTCGATGTTGGAGGCTGAGGACTGCGTCAGTGTGAAATGTATAGCTGTGACTTTATTTTGTGGCGAGTCACATCCGCCACGTTGCAGTGTTGTTAAGCGGACATTTGTGGCTTTTTATAGGGAGAACGCTTGCCAGGCGAAAACCCACCACGTCCTGGAACACTGTCGTAGCTTCCGTTGAACTGTAGTGCTAGTCGGCTATGCATCGTATAGACCGATTTTGCACTCTATTATTCGCAGTCGGTTGACAGCCATAATTTTTTCGGTGGTTGGCCAAATGGCTTAGTACTGAACCGGCAATAGTCGTTGAAGCCAGTCAATGATGTAAAAGAGTCGCAGAGTCGAATGATAATGATGCGGGTGAGTAAACATATTGTTAATAGAGGCCGGCTTTTTCTATTATATTGTCCGGCTCGCAACCCGTGTCCAGCTATCCATGCTGGACTTGTCATAGGGACGGTGAGTGCAGTTGTTTCTTGTGTCTGAATATGTCCAAAACAGGAATAAGTGCTATCCTCCGCGAAGTGGACAAGTATTTCCTTCAAATGTAAGTGTAATTGTTTCCATGACCAAGTGAGAACTCCAGGAAAAATCATCGGAAAAGACGCTTATGCGCGCGCAGTGCTGTCCGTGAAATGACATCAGAAAAGCTCCAGGTGACTGGAGAATCGGAATGTTTGAGGCAGTGAAGGTAATCACGCCAGAATTGTCAGTCTCCAGTTGTGGAACAGTGGATCCATTGTGAGTACGAGGCGAGCTAAACCCATTTGTTTAGACCCCGTGGTGGTAGCTTCTCCAGAATGGCGGAAAGAGCTCCATTTGGAACGATGTGTGGGTTCTTCACCTCCCGGAGAAAAGAACAAGCATGTAAACCAGCTGGCTATTGAAAGTGGGTCGACTATTCCCAGTGGATAAACCTTCTTGTTTTGGCGGATGTATCTGTGGAAATCTCGGGAGAAAACGGGCAACGGACAAGAGGCAGCCAAACAGAAAGACAGCAACGAAGCAAGAAGCACAAACACAGACTGGTGGCGCGCAACGGTGCCTATGATACATTAAAATTTATGTAATTTTGTTTAGTATACATGATTTGGAAGCGCGTTCTTTACATCACGTCGCTGGTGTGCCTCAGACTACAACTACTAGGTAGAAAGAATGGTATAACAAAGCGTGTTGACAACGTTAAGCGATTAATATGATTGTTGGAGAGTAACAGGTAAACCGATTATGATGACAGCAGACCGAATGCGAGCGGCATCTTATGTGAAACTAAGGACAACATGGTTGAGACCGAATGCGGGAGCAACATAGGTAAAGCAACGTTCCAAGAAGAAAAGGAAATTTAAGGAATCAGCTATGAGCGGAAGAATGCGGACGGCATTGCGAAGAGTAACTCATGAGAGCAATTAAGAGACGATAGTCAGGATGAAAAAGGTTTACTACTAAAGTGTGGTGAGCCAGGGACGCTCTCGTGCGAAGTATGAAACGTTCAGTGCTGAAATAGCATCGGTAATATCCCGGTAATCTGAGAGCACTCTGAGAGCCGGAGACCGAACAGACGAGACTCGAGAAGTCGACACATCCAGAGGCCTCATAGTAGTCCCAGAGAATTTCACTGATCAGATAATGACAAAGAAGGGCATGGCACTAAGCGTCGGTCATCCGATTGAAGATTTGAGGGTACAGGTTACTGATGGAAGTGCCTATATTAATCAAGGGTAAACAAGTCTAGCGGGCTGTCAATATAAGCCAGACATAGTTGTGAGTCTAGAGAGATTAGATCGGTATATCTTGCTAGTCTGGAAAAGGTCAAAGGAGCATACCGGTCAGATAAGACTAGGTTATTACAAGCCACTAAGAGTTGGCAGTCCGATTAGAGAAGAAATGATAGTACAGGAGCCATAAGGATAGAGAGAGGTTTACTAATAAGGTGTGGAAAAGTCCACGGGGCTCGAGAGGTAATGGGGACGGAGCGTTCAGTCTCCCGAGCATAGCAGGCAGCGTCGCAGAAGTAGGAGCAAAGAAGACCGAGCTGCCGAGGTTGGACTTGGTCGGCGCATTGTGATTGAGTCCCATGGTTCATTTGGGAAGGTAAGTGGAGTCAGTAGGATTGGACTGGTCAGAGATAGAAGTGGTTATATCAACATAGGGCGAACAAGTTCAGCAGGATATCAAGGTGAGGGAGAAAGTGCTTTGGATCGACGAAGCCTAGACCGCTAACATCCCGGTAGCCTGGTAGCAGTCCCATAGAATTTGGCTGATCAGCTGAGGCTGAGCTACGGATGACAGAGACTCAATCTTCCAACAGAAGAATGATTGGATACGAACGGCGCTCAGTCATCTGAACGATGGCTAGTAGTGTCACAGGAGTCTGAGAGGAGTTGGAAAGCAGGAGACCAAACAGACGAGACAGGATTAGTCAGCGAAACGACATTGAGTCCAACAGCTAATTTTAGGAGGGCAGATGGAGTGGGTCGAGGGGTGGAGGTGACTATATAAATAGAGGGTGAACAAGTCTAGCAGGCTGTCAACGTAAGTGCGATATAGCTTGAGTCTACAGAGTCTAGACAGTTTAAATGTTGCTGGTCTGGAAAGGGTCAAAGAAGCAGACCGGTCAGATGAGACTAGGTTATTACAGGGCACTGAGAGTTGGCAGTCCGATTAGAGAAGGTTTGAAAGTAGAGAACGTCATAAGGAGACGGTCCGGATAGGGAGAGGTTTACTTATAAGGTGTGGAAAAGTCCATGGGGCTCGAGAGTTAATGGGGACAGAGCGTTCGCACTTCTCATTCAATGCCGGTAACGTCACAGCAGTCTGAATGAATTCGGAGAGCAGGGGACCGATCAGACGAGACTGGATTAGTCGGCACACTTAGAGTAAGTAGTACAGTTGAGGCGGGAAGGTAAATAAAGTGTCAGCGGAGACGGATGGGTTGGGATGCAAGAGGCTACATGAATATAAGGTATGCAAGTCAGGCAGGCTCGCAAAGTGAGAGAAGTTGTGTGATGGTGATACAGAGACTAAAACTACATTTCGCTAGTTAGGAAGCAGTCAAAGAGGATAATAGGGCAGGGCTCTGAGAGCTCGCTATGCGGATGAAGAAGAAATAAAGACAGGCCGCGATAAGGAGAGGACAGAGTTAAGAGTTTACGTTTACGGATATGAAATGCGACAGTTAACGAGGCTCTAGAGGTAATGGTGACAGAGCATTCAGGCTTCCGAGCATAGCAGGCAGCGTCGCAGAAGTAGGAGAGAAGAGGACCGATCTGCCAAGGTTGGACTTGGTCGGCGCATTGTGATTGAGTCCTATGGTTCATTTGGGAAGGTAAGTGGAGTCAGTAGGAGCGGACTGGTCAAAGATAAAAGTGGTTATATCAACATAGGGCGAACAAGTTCAGCAGGATATCAAGGTGAGGGAGAAAGTGCTTTGGATCGACGAAGCCTAGACCGCTAACATCCCGGTAGCCTGGTAGCAGTCCCATGGAATTTGGCTGATCAGCTGAGGCTGAGCTACGGATGACAGAGACTCAATCTTCCAACAGAAGAATGATTGGATACGAACGGCGCTCAATCATCTGGACGATGGCTAG